CCCCAAAACCCCAAAACCCCAAAACCCCACATTTTGACAATAATAAGAACGTAAAAGCAGAGGAAGAAGTAGTTAATATATTCATAGATTAATTAGACAAATATTTCAATAATTCTCGTTTCAGAGTATTCTTCTGGATATAGAATTGTTTTTAATGTCAGACCTGCCGAGCTAATTAAATCCATTAGTTGAAGCAGCTGAAGAAGTTACTTGTGTCTAGTAGTTGAATTTGCTGTCAAATTACTAACTACGATTTACAATATTGTTTGAGCTGCTGTCTATCTAATTGATATTGATGATATCATTAATAGTTTAACTCAACTTTTAGAGGTCTTTGATGTAGCCAAAAGGCATCTGGGTTAAAATTGATTCACAATTTTTAGACTGAATTATTTTTTTCAGGCATTGATCTAGATTTCTTATCTCACTTTATGGGAAGAGGTCATCAAGCTTTTGCTGAATATTTTAGTGAGTGTGGCTAGCCGTATAAGTGGAGTTGCTTTAGTGAATGATGTTTTGACTTTTCTATCTGAAAGGAGATGCTTCGGTAGTACTAAGACCTTAAGTATATTGTGCCTTACCGGTACTGTAATCATTTTCATCGCTGAAAAACTTAGATTTATTTTTATCGGTTTTGTTTTGATTGAATAAACTTGGCTGATTGGTACTCTCCCTGTGAGTTGAAATTGTCTTGTGAGCCTACAACTCATCTCTCATTGTCTTCAATCCAATATTAGATTGAAGAGTATTTTGGAAACTCTGCTTTTTTACTGGAGTGTTGTCATGAGATATAGAACTCCTTAAACTCATCAGTTTATCTTCTAGCGACGAGATTGGTCTTTACTATTGCTATGCTTATTAAACACCCTAAAAAGGTGATTTATTTATAATTTAAGACTTCTAATGCTAGTGAAGGGTGAACTATGATGTCTCACTAATCTACCTATTGCTGTGTCCGGAAGAAATAGCTGTCTGTTACTAAGGAGTTCTTTCTGAGCTCATTGTTATATTATTGAATTTTTCCTTTAGCTATTCTTTGATATTACTCTTATCTCTTTCATTTTAAGTCAAGTTATGGCTTAAAGTATTGTTAAAGAAATCAGTGGGCAAAATTTTAGCACTAGGTGAGTGCACAATCTCTCTTGGCTTTTGCCCATTCTTAAAATTTATACTTTCTCTGATGTTTTAAAGCAAGTTCTTAGGTTCTAGAGAATTGTAACTTTCAGCCACATTAAAGCCATTGTTCATTTTCCTTTAACTTCTCTCTCTGCTCTGTGATGTGACTTTGTCCTTTTTTAGTTTTGGACTTCCTAAATACTTCTTAAAGAGATTTTCTATGTGGGAACTGTTATTCTTGTCAGTGCCCTTAATTAAAGTAGTATTATTCCCACCGTTTGAGAGTAGGGTTTGATTAGCATCTTATCTTATTGAACTACTATCAAATCCATATCCCTAAATTCTTGATTTACTCAAGCCACCCACTGTGTTGGAATCATTCATTTTCTCAATTTAGCTCTATGGTCTATTATTTATCATTTAGTCTTTAAGTGACTTTGTGCTGTTTTAAGCCTTCTACCGGTTGAGTTCTTCGTTCTTCTTGAAGCTCTATACATTTTGTTGTTTCTTATTCTATGATTGAATTAGAATAATTTAGATATACAGATGACTAAAGATTATTGGTTCTGGATGATCTATCATCATTTTGATCTTCAATGAAAATTGTACCAGCAGTTTGCCCAATTTTCTTCCTTATCTCATCCCTGTAACTCTGCCAAGAAGTCAAGTACTGCTCTTGCTAGGGATTCTCATCTCTTACAAATGTCAATTCCTTTACTCTTGACTATATTCATAGAATTAGGATAGGATTCTCACTTACTGTATTACGTGATTTATTAGGTTTCTCGTTGGATGCTTCATGAAGAATCGTCCTATGAACTCTATTCGATAATCTCTCATCTTATTAAAGGTATGAATTCCCACTTGACTTAAATGAGCCTCGGATATTGCTTGAAGTCTTATTCATATTTTAAATTTAAAGTATATAACAGCAAGTTTATTAAAATTATTAAAAGATAATAGTTCATATTAATTCTAAATTACCATGACTCAATAAGAGGAGGCATCTGATTTAGAATCTCAAAATTTGTTGACTAATTACCTCCCAGGCTAAGCCAACTACTATTTTGGTCCTTAAATCAAAGGGAATTAAAATTTGTTCAGTTCTCTGAGTCTTCTCGTTCTTTAGAGCTCATCTTGCTTTTTGAGCCACCATTTACCTTGACTTTTTCCTTTTTGACGAAGGTTCGGAGTACTCCAACTTTATCGTCTTTGTGCTTCTGGAAGTCAAAACCAAACTTCTTGCCGAATCTCAACTAAAGTAAGTAATCGTCAAGAGATTTCTTCGAGACTCCTACCTTTTGGGCTGCGTCCTCTAGTGAATACCTCAGCAAGTTTCCCTCCTAGTCTTGTACTCCGTTGTAGAGTTTTCTCCAAAGACTAACCTTCTCAATGATGTCTTATATGGTTCTTTCCTTAGTTCTCTTTTGCTGCTGAGTCTGGTTTTGTGGATTGGCATTACTCTATGGCTAGAACTAAGCTGCTGCTCCTCCTATGCTGGGAGTCTTAACCTCTTCTTGGTTCTGCATTTTTCTTTCAAGGACCCGTCTTGATTATCTAGTTGCATTAGCGAGGGCTTGATTCTATGAAGAAGTATTGGCATCAATCTGCTCTATCTTTGTTCCAGCCTGATCATACTACTAGAGATTCTACTGTTGAGGTTGTTGTATGTCAAGATCTCTCATGACTACATCATTATCATGTCGTTTCATATCGCCGATTATAGGGACTGCCATTTTTCTTTATTCTTGTATCTATGGGCTCTAGTTGTTTGCATTCACGTATCTAAACTTGAGACCCAATCTATTGTTTTAATCGATGTCCTCCAGAGGAATGGAGAAATCCTCTGGGAAAGGATCTTTTCCGATGTGAACAAACATCTTCTCTGCTATTGAAAAATACGAGATCAAATAGTCCTTAACTGGAAAACCTAGCTCCGCTATTTTTCTAATGATAGGTGCCACCTTAAATCCATTATTCCATTTATCGTTTTCCAGATCAACATTTTTGATCAATTCCTTCTCATTCTCATACTAAAGAGTTATATCGATCTACAGAAGGAGGTTTAAATGAGATTCAAGTTTGGATTAGAATTATATAAAATTGAAGTTTTAGGCTTGAAAATAAATATATTTAATATGGAGGGCTTTGGGGCTCGTGGAATAGATCCTTACCTTTCGAATATTTTGTGACATCGGCATATTAGCTCTGTCAGGAAAGCTACTGTCCAAAATGTGGTTGTTAAACGGTATAGAACTCGGAAAGTTAAGAGAGGGCATGTTGTCTCTCCCAAAAGTGTCATCTTTAAAATTACTAGAGCTGCTGATCATACTGGCGATATTTTAATTGCTGATCTTCTTTGTTTATTCTGGCAAAACAATTATTTTTCTGATTTACTATAATCAAATCAACATATCCGATTTGTAGAATGGGGTTTTGGGGTTTT